GATTGTGTGTGGAAACTCCCAACCTCATTTGTGGAACCCATGGTTTTGAAAAGGGTACAGCAAACAAACACTGTTCAAGCTACAGTCTCAGTTTGGGCAGCTGATTGGAGAGGCTGGAGGAGTCGGTGGCTGGGAAAAGGACCCTTCTAAAGTAGTTTTTCTTCAGGTGCATTGATTCAGATCAGTCAGGAGCAAAACTCTGCTTTTATCTTGCTTTATATTTAATTCATATGCTGCTTACTTAAGGGCGTGCCTATGGTGTTGGCTTCTGAGTGTAAATAGATGTGCAAAATGGCTACTACAGATTGAAGGTCTTGGTCACAACTGAATTTCACACGACAAAGTCTTATCCTCAAGATCACGGTGCTACCTAAGTCTGTCTCTCCAGGTCTTCAATTTCCAGGCATTGGAATTGCCTTAAATCCATTTTGGCACGGAATGCATCATTATTTTCATATTGTGCTAGTTCTACTCTCCTGCTTTCATCCATACAAGCCAAGAGTGAATAAGAGTTGGCAACTTCATACTCGACTATTATAGTGCAGAGTACACTTTAATCAGCACCATAATAAATAGCACGCCCAATTAATTGGGACATTGCCAGGAAACCAATTCCCTTCCCTGCACTTCAGTTGCTGTAAATGATGGATAAATAGCATTCTTGCTGTTGTCTGTGAGCATATTTGTTGTAATTAACAGGTATGATTTGGTTTTTGCTGGCATGTGTTTCCTCAGTAGCTCTGCTCACTTTTGAGGAGGCTCCCTGTTCCCATGCAGTTACTAAAAATAAATAGAGCAGAGATTTCCCTTTCAATATTTGCTTAAATCAAGGTAGTGCTTTTGTATTAAAAACAAAACAAAAAAAAGTAATCTATATATTATATTCCTATATGGTTTTGACAATTACAGGTGGTAATTTAATTAGTAAGTTTCTGTTTTAATTAGTATGGCAAAGAGGACTTTGCCATACCATGGAATAATTTATAATAAAGGGAGGAATCTCTGCTGCAGCTTTCTAACACTGCTTTTTTTGACCAGAGGTTGCATGGTGGTTTGCTTTAAAGTGGTATTTCCTTGAGGGAGATCCACAGAAGTGCAATCTATTTTCATAAACTGGTATATGCTATGATTTACTGTAGGCATGTGACACTTTCTCCTATTCAGACACACTTTGCCAAAAAATTAAATAAAATTGAACACAGCAAACCCTTCTAATCCCTGCATTCCTCACAGATTGCTTTAATGGAGACTCAAGAAATTATTGGAAGTAAATGAATACAAAAAGGGAAAGAGTACTGGGGAAGGGATCTCTAAAACCAGGGTGGCTATGGATCAGCAAAGGGTAGAAACATTCGTATAATTAAAGGAGAACATAATTTGTGAGTTATCCGAAAAAAATTGTCTGGGTTGGCATTTCCTTTGACTTGTTGGCTGGAGGAGGAGAAACCGCCCTGTACCACTGCATACGGTTCCTTATTAGTTGTGGCTTCTGCAGAGGCTCCGTCTCCTCTTTGGAGCAAGGAGGATTTCTTTCATTACATAATCCGGATTACTTTTTTTTTTTTAATAGATTGAATTTTTTTTCTCCTGCGTGTGCAAATTCTCCTTGCCCCAATGCTTCTATACTGAGGTTATTATGCAGAAGGAATGCGAGCGTCTAGAGTAACAATGGTTCATTTTCCTTTAATGACTTTGTCGACAGGATGGAGACATTTTTGTGGTGTGATGAATTCACTCGGTCTCCCGTTGTGTTTTCTCCACATGCTTTGGAAACTCTCTCTCTCTCCGAGAATTGTGGCCATCCACTCCAGCAAGAGCTTCATTACTTTATATTCATTGTATTTAAATGACACCCCAGTGGTACTGACCTCCTGGGATGATTGATGTAAATTATATGCTATGTAGGGGGAAAATAAAATCTTTTTCTGACTTTTTATGTTCTGCAGAGAAATAAAAAAGTGAAAACAAATGACAGAGAAAATCAGGCTTATTCAAAGTGAAACTTTGTAAGCATTATGGTTTGAGTAGACTCCAGCTTGTAAAAGTGCTGAGACAGTTTATAATGACCTTGTGATCTGAAAGGTGACCTGAAAAGGGGAAACAATTTTGTATGTGCCCTTTTTTGGCTCTGTACAATGCATAACAAAAACTTGATCAGCTTTTTTTCCTCTCTGTGAAGTATTGTAAGAATTCAGACCCGAGCAGGGAGCGGCCTCTGCACTTTTACCAGCTAGACATAGGCACAGTATTAAAAAGGACACCTTACTCCTCTTTCCTCCTGTCTTCTAGCAGATTTTCTTGTATTGATTTCAGATTTCATAGCCAGTAGGTATCTATCTTGTCCAATTATTCTGCCAGGAGCTATCGCCTATAGAAGTTGCAACAGGGAGAGTGTTCTTTCATCAGCCCAGCTCATCACTGGGCAATAATTTCAATCCCTTCCGAACTGGTAACCTTTCACTGCATGCAAAAGGGTTCTGCACAGCAACACAGTTTGTCAGAAAATATTTCTGTCAGTGCTTTTTCAGGCACCTCACCAAGTCACACTGCCTCTTTCCAAGCTCCTGGAAGTTATGTAGTTCACACTGGACATGCTTAACCACATTATCCTAGTAATTCCCTTATTAAAATTACCATGTGGAACTGGTATAGTAATTTCTCTATTTGTCTGTTTTCATATTAGTCTGTCCTACCAATTCTGATATAGGTGAAGCTATTCATAGCAACATCAGCAATATGCTGCCTTGCCTTCCTCAACTTAATGTAAAGTTTTGACAAATCACAGAATTTGGCTAAAAACATGAGTTGCCTTGAGTTTTTCTGCAGTACCTTTCATAACTTGACAGAATGCTTTGATTCCCTTTTGGCTGGGATGCTCCTCAGTAACCCTGCTTTGGCTAGGGTTACCCAGATATTTTAAAATGTCTAACAGGAAGGAATAGTTCAGTCCATCCTCCTTGCAGCACTCAGAAGACTTTGCAGTGCAGGCAAGAATCAGCAGCACAAGGCCTCTCGTTCTCTGGGATAATATCTTGGTGTTTTGCCCAAGTTGCTGTCAGTGCTCGGGTTGGTATCAGCTCTACTTCCATAATCGCGAGCAGCAGCAGAAGGGAGGGAGCCTGGCAGAACTCGGCAGCGAGCCACAGAATCACCTCGTCTTTCTGAAGCTGATGTGGGAGGTGGGAACAGAGAGGAAGCAACACAGAGGGGACTGGCAGAGTGTTTATATAAAGTTAGAAGGATGAGGAGTGAATGGTAGCCAAAAAAACCCCCAAAAAACAACTAAGGGTAGCAGAAAGAAGGTAAGAGAGACAGACAGAAAATAAGATGGCTTTGTAATAAACTGGAATTCAGATGGCCCCTAGAGCGTTAAGATCATTGTGGTGGTTACCAGAACTTTGTTTTCCCTGCTTTCCTTATCCTTCATTCCTTCGCCCCATAAAAAAAAAAAAAAAAAAAAAAGAAGTAAAATGATAAGATTTGCATAAAATTATGAAGTCTCTACTATGTCAGTTTCTTAGAATCAGTCCTAGGAGAAATTATATGAATCCTGTTCTGGGGGTAGGCAGGAATTTGAATTAGGATGGACTGAGAAGGGCAAAGCAAAAGAGAGTATAACTTTGGAATTTATATACCCTGCAAACTTTCCATAAAAGTAAGATTTTTGGTGGTTAAAAAAGCACTAACAGTTATTCCATTTACCTCTACTGGTCCCACTTATTAGTTCCAGTTGATACCATGGTACACACAAGCCTGTCTCTGAACAAACCAGCATGTGATGAGAAAAACAACCAAACTAAACTCACATAAACCTACAGTTAGGAGATGTAGAAGGAAGAAAAGGTTGAAAGGAGAAAGGAAGGGTTAAAAGATGAAAGGAAAGGCAGGTTAATGCTCCAGCTCACCTAGTCATGCCCCTCCCCATCAACCTGTTGAGCTGACAGGACAAAGGAAGAGGAAAGCCACCATTGCCAGGAATCAGAGGAAAGCATAGATATATAACCACCCCAACGTATTTAATCATCCCAGCACAGAACAGAATATTTCAGCTGGAAGGGACCTACAATGATCATCCTGTCCAACTGCCTGACCATGTCAGGGCTGACCAGAAGTTAAAGTGTATTGTTAAGGGTACTGTCCAAAATGCCTCTTATACACTGATGTGTGGAGCATCGACCACCTTCCCAGAAGGCTGTTCCAGTGTTTGACCACCCTCGCAGTAAAGAGATGCTTCCTAATGTCCAGTCTAAACCTCCCTGGCATAGTTTTGAACAGTTAATGGTGTGGTTGAAGTAGCACAACTTGGCATGCTGTAGCAAGGATCCAGTGCTATTTCCAAGGCTAAAGACAAACAGGGATTGCTGTGGTTCACACTGTGCTATTTTGAACACCTGTACAAGGCTGTAGCTGCAGAGATGAGGGTGGGCTGGCACTTGTGCTGAGGCCAGACACCTGTGTAAGCCCACACCTCCTTCCTGAGGGGGATCCAGGCGCCTCTTCCCAAAATCCTCTGGATTTTGGCACTCACAGCAGCTCTAGAGCTCTTCCCGCTGCCCTCCAGCACCACCCTATGCTGAGGGGGAAGGAAGAGGTGACCATGGCCCGTTGGGCAGCACCTGCAACAAACACCCCTGCAGGCATTCAAGGAAAGACTGAACATGGCACTTAGTGCTATGGTCTAGCTGACAAGGTGGTGTTCGGTCACAGGTTGGACTAGATGATCTCAGATGCCCTTTCCAACCAAAGGGATTCTGTGATCCACAGAATTGTTAGGGTATACTGAGTTGGAAGGGACCCCCAAGGATCACTGAGTCCAACTCTTAAGTAAATAGCCCATACAGGGATTCATCCCCAACCCTGATGTGGGTTAGTACCAGGGTCATCTGCAGCAGTGACACAGGAACACATTCAGGTGGGCTTGGAATGCCTCCGGAGAGGGAGACTCCACAACCTCCCCTGGGCAACCTGTTCCAGTGCTCTGCCAGCCTCCCTGCAAAGAAATTCGTCCTCATGTTGAGGCTAAACATCTTGTGTTTTTATAGTTCATGGTCACTGTTCCTCGTCCTGTCACTGCGCACCACCAAAAAGAGCCTGGCACCGTCCTCTAGTCACCCGCCTTTGAGATATTTGTGTGCATTAATGATCCTGTGGTTGGTTCTGTGAGGGGCGGGCTGAGGGGAGAGTTGGGCTGAGGGGAGAGTTGGGCTGAGGGGAGCAGCTGAGGCGAGCGGCCGAATGGAGAGCCGGCAGCGGCGGCGGGAGGAGGTGGCGGCGGGAGGAGGTGGCGGCGGCGGCGACCCCGCCTCGCCCCGGCTCCTCCCCGCGCCCTGGGAGGCGCCACCGCCTCCATGTGCGGGGCGGCCGCTGTGGCGGAACCGGCTCCTCCCCGGCGCGGGCGGCGCCATTTTACCCCCCCCCTCCCTCCCTCCCTGCCTCAGCGGCCGTGGCGGCGGCGGGCGGGGGGAACAGCGCGAAGCTGCCGCTGCCGCCGCTTTCCGTTCCCCTGGTTTCCTCGCCTCGGTCCAGGCGAGAAGGAAAGACCGAGGTTCAGTTCCTGCCCCTCGCTCTCCCCTCTCGGCTCTCTGCACAAGGGGTGGGGGGGGGGGGGATCGGCCACCACAAGCTGCTCCCACCCTCCTTCTCCATCCTTCCTCCCTTGCACATCTCAGCCTCCTCCTCCTCCATCCATCCTTCCCCGGGGGTGAGCCTTTGAGTGAGTCACCAGCGAGGACACTCTGTTAGGCAGTGTGTTGCTATTAATTAACTTGGCGAGGCTGCTCGTTGTTGGGGCCTTCAGGAGCATTAACGGGGCGGTTCCTGCCCGCGGTACCTGCGGGGCGCGGGGTGGGGGCGCGGGGGATGCTGGTGGCCTTGGGTGGTGGTACATCGGACCCTGCCCTGCTGGGTTTGTCGTCATGCAACTTATCTGGAAGGTGTTTCTAGGACTTCTTTTTATTTATTTATTTATTTATTTATTTATTTTAATCCTAACATTATGTGACAGTGGCTAGGCTTTGGCCTGCAGTGTGCTGCAGGTTGCTGATTTCTTCTTGTCACTCTGATGCTGTGAAGTGTCACTAGTTTTTAATTTTTGTCTACAGGAAGTGGATTTTATTTATTGTGCCCAAACAGATGTGGTGGTTTATTAATTGGAATCCTGTGTATTTGGCTGTTCATTCTTAATGTGAAGTATTAGATACATACACTGATGCCCTAAATTGATGTTATTCCTGATATTTCAGAATGTTCACTTAACGTTTATAGTATTCCTTACAGAAATTATTAGTCTTCTCAGAAATTAATGGTAAATGCTAAAAACCTAGGAATAACAGTCCAGAAGCATATTTCCCTATGCTAGCTTTGAGTGATTTTTCCACTCACTGTGTTTTTATACCTCCTATGTACAGATCAACTGTTTCTAAGTTCCTAGAAATTACACAAATGGATGCTTTGCAGTTGATGAATGCAAAGCACAATATACATGCAAAACATATATTACTGTGCGTGTGAAGGGGAGGCAAGACCCTGATGTTGTGGGCAGCCAAGTCTGCTGTATGGCATTAGTGGTAATGATTTATTGTGAGACACTTGATTTCCTACGAGTGAATCTGTTTCAAGGTTTGCAGCAGTGTTGGTGATACGCTTACATTTTCTTTTGAAGTCTTTGATCTAACTCCCACATCATTCTCTTTCTTGATACAGGCCTTGCTTTCCCTTTGGCTTAAGGCAGCAATGCTTACTTGGCGGGATATAGTGCACCTTCCCTCCCTCCCTCCCTTTTTGCATATCTTTCTTCACTGCTGGCCAGGTCCAAGTGTCGTGGAAGGCGGTGTCAGTCCCTCTGTTAACCTTGGTGGACTTTGCACAGGCCCGTATTTGCATGTCTCTTATATGCAAATTACATTTTGTTTTATTTTAGTTCCTTTTTCTCCTGTGTACTGTTGCTGTGTAAGTGGAAATGCTGATGTTAAAAGTAGCATTTCCAACTCTAACAGTTTTTCTGAGAGCCTCATCTCTGCTTGTGAAAGTTTGAAAAAAGTTAATTTTCAGTTAGAGTAAGAAATTCTTAGCTGTGATGTTCTGAAGAAAAGCTTGAGGTCTTGCCAGAATGTGCTAAAAAGGCAGGAGGAAGAACTCCAAGTCGTGTCTCTGAGAAGTAAACAAGAAATCCTTCTGTGCATTAGTGGCATTTTGCTTGTGACTTTAAAATACATGGATTTGGAGACATTACTTAAGGTTTAAAAAGATTCAGTAGCGTTTAGATTATTTGCTGAGCCTCTTGAGTGTCATAACCAGCTGAATTACTCTCCTGGGCTCAGTTCTGAGTAGGACAGAATGGGGCTGTCTGAGATTTGATCAGTCAATTAGTAACTTGTCAGTGTAAGCAAGCTGTAATTTAGCGAGCTACAAGTGTTTTAAGAATTGCCTACATGTAACAGTGTAGAGCAACAGTGAGCATTGTTCACCTTGTTAGTGCTGTTCTCATGTGATGCCCTCCAGCAGTGAGACCAGCTAGACAGTGTCTTTCTAGGTCATCACTGCAAGGGTGTTCTGAGGCACGAGGCCAAACCCAAGCCGTGTAATTATACCATAGAAACTAATTGAGTTAATGCTCTTGTTGCAATTGTGAAATATCCAAATGTGTAGATACACAAGTGTGTAAAGAGAAGGAAACTAGCTCAGGCCTCTCTTCTCATGGAACCAGGCAGTGGTGACTCAGTTAGGAGCTTATCTGGAGCTGATCAAAAAAAAAAAAAAAAAAACCTACCTGTCAGAGGCTCTGAAAATGGTATTGATTTGATCTCTAATCTGTGTTCTAGATACTTGGCACTCATAATGCTGCAGGGAGTCGTTACTAATTTGAAGTAACCTTAGTAAGTGTTCTTTTGCAAGCTAACACTGGTGAAACTTCTATTTATAAATAATCTTTGGCTTTTCTCTAGCCCTGTATTTTGCATACGTTTGAAGTATTGCGTTTGATGACAATCAGACTTTCACAGAGTCAGCTGCAAAGTTTCGAGTTCACACAGCTCCTTAAACTGTCGTAGGAGTAACAGTAATGGAAAAAGAGGCCAAGAGCTTGCATAGAAGAGGTGATTTCCAGTAGGCTTTTGCTGAAATGTTTTATTGAAAACACACATTTTTCTTTGCTACTTAAGCACATGGTTTTTAAAAGCACTTAACGTTGAAGAGCTGTATTGATAATTTTTATGATTTGCCTGAGAGATTCTAGCAAGATTAACACAGTACCCTAGTATACCTGGGAAAAATGTGTGTTTTGAACTAAACAGGAATACATTTTAACAGGAGCTTATCAGACATCACCTGGGACTGAGATCTCTGGAAAGGGTTGGTGGGCCTGAATGTTACTGACATACTGTTAGGCCTACTTTTTAAGAGCTAATTTTCCTGCTTGCAATTTATATTTTAAAGCCATGGCTGTTTTTCCTGTAGTTTTCCTTGTATTAGGTGTTGTGCAAATGAACAATTACAGAGGTTCTCCTCTAAAGAATTTCTACTTTTGGTGGCTAGCACTTGATTTCTGAAAGGAGAGGAGCAATTCAACAATAAGAATTGAGAAATTTTATATAATCTCACCTATGTGGTGAGATTTTATATAATCTCATGTATTTGGCTGCTCACTTGTGATGAGAAATTTCGGATACATATGTCAATGCCCTAACTTGATGATATTCCTGATATGCCAGGATATTCAATAAAGTTAGGGTGGTACTATATAGTAAGAAATTATTTTAATTGCATTTCAAGTAGTGAACCAAACACACAGCAATGTGAAAGGAGGAGGATCAATGTGAGCAGTGTAATAGATTGGGAAGATAAGGCCATCTTGAAAGGAGATGAATGCAGGTAAAGGTTTAGAGAGAGAAATTATACTGAGGAAAATATAGTTTAAAGCTAATAGTGACTTGGCTGTGCTTTGCAGAAAATCTGTGCCAGTAAAACCTAAATTTTAAGTTACTGTAGATGGAACTAAAGGTAGATGGGAACCATTGTTAGCAAATGAGCAGTAAAGCATATTGGCAGAACTAATTTGACCTTTGCATATTAATATTTTATGTTTTACTTGTCAGAAAAAGCAAAATACTGAGCAGAGTCACAGTTTGGGGCCTTTATGCTGGAGTCAAGTGTGCAAGTCCCTGGCGACTTGAATGTGTTTTTTTTATCACCAGACCTGTCTTTGCTTCACTGAAAATTGTCATTGGTTCCCACAGGAAGATCATGGTCGCTAAATTGCATCTCTATACAATTATTAAATAATTAGTATGGAAAACTGAGAGTACTAATGTATTATGAAAAGACAATTGCTAGTTCAAATAAAGTTATGGTTATAGGAGCCAACTCCTGGAAGCTGTGGAAACTTTGCTGTTTGTTACAGGTTGTCTGGTCTTTGCGCTGTTTTGTTAAAGCATTTTTAGGAAAGGAAAGAAGGTCATTGATGCTTAATTTGCAGTGCCATTAACTGCCAGATGTGGCACGGAGCAAAAAGTGTGCATGCTCAGTTCAGAGGGAGGTGGGCGTATACATTAGATTAATTTTCCCTGCTTTCTTCTCAAAAATAAATATATCACTTCTGGGGAAGGACAGAGCTCTGATTAGACTGGAGCTAGCAATGCTGAGAGAAGTGTTTGTAAACATCTCCAGATGTGGAGGCAGAGCTCTCATGTAAGCTTGCGCTGTGTTTCCCAGTCTCAAGTAAAACAGTCACATCTGTATATTAGTATTCTTTCAGTAGTCTAGACCTTTCTGTGGTCTGTTTCAGAAGAAGTTTAAATAACTGTCCTGTCTAACTCATGGGTGGACAAATAATAGCTTAAAATATGAGGACATGCAGAGCAATTTTGGGTAAAACACAGCAGTTGTTACACACAGTGGAGTCAGAAGGTTATATTTTACTCTGAGGTTGGTTAGTGACTTTTCCTTCCCTGCAAAGTCAGAGCGTTGTGCTTGTTTCCTGCTTTCATTTAAAGTCTTCAGTAAAATTAATGCACAAAGATATGTTACGAGATGTAGAAATGAACATGAAGGGTTATTTTATCTCCACAGGGATACTGAGCAGTTTTAAAGCCATTAGGATACATGTTATTCTTTGGACCAAAATCTATGCCTACGTGTATTAGAAAATTTGGTTTCCCCTTTGTTATCAGCCGTGCGTGTTTCTTCTATAACTTCTCCATGGGAACAAATGACTGAGTTGCCTTTTA